TACAAGTTGAAAAAAACTGAACTGCAGAAAGAAGGCTTCAATTTGGACAAAATCGAAGACAAGTTGTTTCTGTATGATGCCAAAAATGTTGACTATGTTGAATTGACTAAAGAGAAATACCATGACATTATGACAGGGAAAATTAGACTGTAAAATTATTTATTTAAGTGCAAAATTATTTAAATACAGGTTTCGTTATTTTATTAGTTTTTTATTGTTACTTTACCAAAATTTTTGTTACCTTTAAAAAGTGTTTGCTATCTGATGTGTGTAGAGTAAAAAATAATAATTTTTCGTCATTCGACTTCCAATTTTTCCAAACTTCCAATTTAATCTCCGGTTTAAGTACTTTTTACTGTTTCAATTTTTAGTAGGCAATATTTTAACATAATTGTTTATTGATTGTTTCAATGTTCAAATTCCCAAGACAATAATCAAGTTCGTTTTAGTCAATAAAATTCAAACTTTTTCAAACACAAACCATAAGAGAAAAAAATGTCAAATTTTGTCTCGAGTCACATTAATCGTACCTCTACTCTTCTATTCTCTCAATTAAAATGATATTAACATTGCACAAACATCAATTAGTGTAATTATGACTTTGTATCTAATAAGTGGAATGATTGTATCAACTTTCGATTATAATACAACTCGCAATATGTGTTTGTGCAAATCATACCTATTTGGAAAATAAAACTTAGCCATATTTTTATTCTGCCATGTTTAGTCAAAAATTGAGAAAATTTGATAATTTTCATTGGCAAATACGCTATATTATCGTTCTTCCAAACCCTTTACAATTATCTCTTAAATATCAAAAGTGCGAGTCCACAAGTGAGTCAAAAACTAAAACTAAAAATTGTATAAAAAGCCAAAACGAATTTCTTGAACTAATCGACTGTTTCAACACGATTTTTGGCACCCACTTACAGCTAGATTAAAAAAGAAAGTGGTCGTCAATGTTATTTCAAAAATTAGTAAATAATAAAATAATAAATGATTTAGGAGTACATTTTTACAACAAAATTGATTTGATGGCAAATTACGAAACTTCATGATATGTATTTTTCTAAATTTAAGTAAGGTCGTTACACAGGAATAATTAATTTGATGCCAAAATGTAACATTGACGACCATTTTTTTTTTTAAATTTGACTCTATTATTAACATTTTTTGTTGTTTCGTGTCACATGACAGTGCAACAAATAAATATATTCGTAAAAATTTCGACTTGTATCAAATATACAGTACGTCCTGAAATAAAGTACCTAATTAAATTTAATACGCAAAAATTTCAAGTGTTTTATTTAGACCTAGTAATTCTCTGACAAACAAACGACTGATAACAAAAAACTGTTCAACTTTGATTATAGTATCTTTAAAAATAAAGTTATGGCTTGAGGCGTTTTTTAAAATCCAGTCTGTATACAGGTGCGCCAGAACTTGCGCTCCAAAGAAAAATGCCATATAAGGTAAGATACGAGGAAAATTAAAAGAATGTTAAAAAAATTCTATCGATAAAAATTTCGAAGTTATGAGACTTTAAACTTTGCACTTTGACTCTATTTCTGTAGGAAAAAGTAATTTTCCAAGTTATTTTGCTAGAGGCTATTTATTAGAAGAGGAAACAAAGAAGCTGTATTCTAAATTGCATCTCTGATTAATGTTATTTGTTATTTTTATTGGCAAAATTTTTGTACCTTTACTAAATAATTATAAAAAAAAACATATAAAAGATCTCTGAGCGCGAATTCTGACACACTCTGTATACTCTTCGGAAGCGATCGACAGTAACCGATTTTTTCACATATCGCAGTGTACCGAAGACAAGTAACGAGTGCGTAGTTCAACCTTTCATACTTACATTTGTAGTACAATTTTCTTAAAAACAAAAAATGGTACTTTTCTACTTTTCCAAAAATTAGACCCTTTATTTGTAATTTTCATTTCAGATTTTTGCAGCAGTGTTTGTTATTTTGTTATCAATTTTTCTTTTAACAAATCGGAGATACCGGTGGTTTTATATTATTTGCAAAACTTTAGGGCGTGATGTTCGGTAAGTCATAAGCCGTTTTTTTTCTAAATCAATTATTGCAAAAAAACTCCTTCGCAAAAAACACGTGTTTGACGAGTAATTAATATTCAAATTTTCGATGTCATTAGTGTTTCCAATGCGTTTAATTAATTTTATATTTAAATTTCAGTCTATTAAATTTAAATTTAGGAAGTCAAACAATATTTAAATAAAAGATTAAAACAATAAGTAATTGTTTTGTTGTTGTATCTATGATTTATCTGTGTTTTGACTTGACGACCTGTGTGATAATCTGTTTTTTTTTAAGAACAAAGTTTACAGAAAAATTTTAAACGTAATACTTTTTTATCAAATTGGAAATGTTCGAAAAGTTAATTGCATATTATCTGAAAATGCACCACGAAATCTTTCAGGTTTCTTTTCCTGACTGAATTTTACTTTAGAGTTCATAATTTTTTAATTCCGTTTGAAAAACAAAATATTAAAAATTGTATTTTCAATAATTGACTTATTAACAATTTTTAAGATTTTCATTACCTCAAACAATACCAAAAATTCCAGGGCCCTCATCAGGTTCTCCGCCTTAAACTTCCAACTCTGGCGATACGAAAAAACCCAGCAAAGCGTTGCTAAAATTTTCACAAAACTCATCTCGAAACATCCCCAGAAAGTCGCTTTCTACTTCGAAAACGAAATTTGGACTTTTGAAGACGTAACTAAACAAAACAAAAACAAACCAAGGTCTAATTCAAATATTTAGGTGGACAAATATAGCAACAAAATCGGCAACTTTTTCAAAAACCAAGGCTTCAAAAGGGGCGATGTTGTAGCCCTAGTGCTCGAATCTCGACCCGAATATGTAACAATTTGGCTCGGCTTGGGCAAAATTGGGGTTGTTACGGCCCTGATTAACAATAATCTCGTTGCCGATGCGTTGGCACATTCCATCCAAGTTGCGGATGCCAAGGCTGTGATTTATGGATCTGACTTTGCCAAAGGTAACAAAAAACACCTTTTTTAAAATCGTCCGTAAAGTAGCACTTTACCGGCCTCATATATGTCATTAATTAAAAGTTGACAAATTCTCAAACTTTCCCAAGGGTGTCAAAAATATTTTCTATTAAATCGCCCGTAAAGTAAAGAAAATAGTCCGTAAAGTAGTACTTTATCAGACTCGTATGTCATTACTTGGCAAGATAATCCGTAAAGTGTGTACGATTTCGCGATAAAAAATCAGTTTTAGTGCTTGTTTTACAAAAAAGTAATGTAAATATTTTAGCAATCAGCGATATTTCGGGTAAAATCCCCAAAATGAAACTTTACCAATTTGCGAAAAATGGCGGCGAATTGTTGCCAAACTCTGTCGATTTGGCAAAAGAAGTGAAAAAGGAAGGAAATAGACCATTGACGTCCGATATTGCAAATGGTCGACCCAAAGACAAACTGTTATTTATTTTTACTTCGGGTACTACAGGGTTGCCCAAAGCTGCAGTTATAACTAATATAAGGTTCATATTGATAGCCTTGGGTGTCCATTACATGACAGTTATCACAAAAAATGACATCATTTACGACCCTTTGTCCTTATATCACAGTGCTGGGGCCATAATCGGAGTAGGCCAATGCATCCTCAGAGGTACCACAGTTGTCATAAGAAAAAAGTTCTCAGCATCGTATTTCTGGGTCGACTGTATTAAATACAGATGCACGGTACTGAACACATACAGGGTGTTGTGTCACTTTTTTAAATAAAAAAATACATTTTTCTAGGTCGCCCAGTATATCGGCGAAATTTGTCGCTACATCCTCGCCGCTCACACCTCCGACGACCGCCCCATCCCCCACAACGTCACAAAAATGATCGGAAACGGCCTCCGGCCCCAAATTTGGGGCCAATTCGTGACCAGATTTGRCGTAAAACAAATATTCGAGTTGTACGGCGCGACTGAAGGCAACTCCAATTTAAGTAAACTCAAATTTTGTCAATTTCTCTTGTAAAAAATTCGTTTTAGTTAACATTGATAGCAAAGTGGGGGCTGTCGGTTTCGTTCCTCGCTACGCCTCCTATTTCTACCCCGTCACGTTGGTGAAATGTGACGAGGCGACCGGAGCCCCAATCCGGGGCTCCGACGGTTTCTGTCAACGCTGCGAGCCCGGAGAACCCGGAGTTTGCATCGGGATTGTCAATCCGAAGAAAACCGTCAACGATTTCGCCGGTTATGTTGACGCGAAAGCAAGCGAAAAGAAACTCATCGAGAATGTGTTCAAAAAAGGTGACCGATATTTCAATTCCGGGGATATTTTGATCCAGGACGAGTTGGGGTACTACTTTTTCAAAGACAGGACTGGCGACACGTTTAGATGGAAAGGCGAAAATGTGGCAACTTCGGAAATTGAAGCWGTTATCAGCAATATTGTTGATTTGAGTGATGCTATTGTTTACGGTGTTGAAGTGAGTGAGATTTTGCAAAATCCGGGTTTAATTCTCTGTTTTAGATTCCGGGGACTGAAGGACGGGCCGGAATGGTCGCAATCGTCGACCGGAATAATACTCTCAATATGAAACAGTTCTGTTTAGGGTTAAAAAATAATTTGCCCTCATATGCGGTACCAATTTTCGTACGAGTTATGACCAAAGTTCCTATGACAGGGACCTACAAGTTGAAAAAAACTGAACTGCAGAAAGAAGGCTTCAATTTGGACAAAATCGAAGACAAGTTGTTTCTGTATGATGCCAAAAATGTTGACTACGTTGAATTGACCAAAGAGAAATACCATGACATTATGACAGGGAAAATTAGAATGTAATTAGTGTAAAACTATTTAAAATGCACTTTTGGTTGTTATTAGTTTTAAATAAATTTGAATTGCGCGCTGTTACACTTAGTAATTTATTGATTGTAAGTTGGCTAGTGAAAATTAATTAAAAGAACCTCAAAATTTACGACGAGAATCTCAGTAGCAAAGTAAAATGACGTCATAGCGTCTTAAAAAAACAAAATACGCCAGGCGGCTTTGAAACGATAATTTCCCTTTTCTGGGGTCAATAAACTTAAAAAAACCCACTAAAAACTCACAAATTCATCAAATTGTCTACTTACTAACTCACAGTACATTGTAATTGGAAATTTAACACAAAAATTTAATTTTCACGTTACTCCCCACCACCAATAAGCAAAGTTTGGTTACTTACTTGGGAAACACAGAAATCCCGGCTTAGCTCGACCCCAATCACTCCACACTGCAACACTAACGTCTTTTCACACAAAATTTGTACCAAATCACTGATTTAACACCAATTTTTCGACTTGTGTTTGGCGAAAAGCACCCACCATCAAGTTTGATCGACCGCCAATTGTTTCACTACCAACCTTACAAACAACAAATCACTAAATGTGATGGCGCAAAATTCAAATCTTTTTTTTATAAAACAGAATTACAATTCACCAGTTCGTATAATTTTTAAAAGTCCGTCAGTGTTGTTATTCTTGATGGCTGCTCGACAGTGGTTTATCATAGCGGACGAATTGGGCCCCACTGTAAAAAAAACAAAATTTTCCTTGTTCAAATTTTGAATTAAATACCTCTCAAACGTGACGCTCTTTGAATAATCGAATTGATGTTTTTCATAGTCTCCAAACCCTCGTTGTAGTTCTGTAAGCGAATATTGTAGCTACTGATCAATTCTTTATTAATTCTGTCGAGTTCCACGTAATATCTCGGCATTTCCTCTCTAAAAACCGAATTTTATAAACGGAAAATCGTCAAAACTAACAATACATGTCATTGATGCGGCAATCCTCGCCCCTGATCACCAACCCCCGAATCTGGCCAATCCGATCAGCCACATCCGTCCCTAACCTCAATCTCGCGTCCTGTATTTCCCCCAACTTCTCCATACAAACTTTCAAGATGTCTTCCTGTTTCGGAAACGACGCTCTCGCCTCCAGACTCTCAATTTTGAGGAATGCCGCCAGAGACTGGACCAAATCAGCGGCTAGGGACATGTTCTCCGTAAAAAATAGGGTCTTCCCCGAAGCGTCAAACGCCAAAGTGAGCACTGACCCGTCTCTGAGACACTTTAAGTGCAATTTGAGACTCGTCCCGTCCGCTTCGAGGTCATTAGGGAAGAGGAAGTTTTGGTTGAGCCACATGCAAATCCTCTGGAGACGATCATTGATTTGAAATTCGACGAAACTGTCACATGGGGGCGATGTCGATAAGAGGGTGTACATCGAGAAGCGGGGGAGTTGGCGTGTGATTTCAAAAACGTGGAATTGGACGCTGTTTTGATACCCAACTAAGGCCTTTCAGAGAAAATAGTGTGAGGTAGGCAACCAATTATACACACCTTAATGTGGATGTCGACGGGGGTGTCCCGGGGGATAAACAAAGGGATGAGGATATCAGAACTTAGCTTGTTTTGTGGTGGGTGAACCACGTGTGTTTCCCCCTTAAAAATCCCTTCAGCGAAGATTAAAACCGCTTTGATTATTGTAGTGTTATTGGTGGAGACATAAACTTCAACATGATTCTAAAACAGTTAGTTGTTTTTTGTTATTTCAATAAGATTTATTACATGTTTTGATTTTTCTTCACTCGTCGCAATCCCGATTTGTAATCTGGTGTTTGCGGGGATTACCCCATTATTTTCGTAACTGTCCATTTGATTGTAGGCATTTTCGTTATATTTTGTGTTATTTTCATAATGTTTCAATTCTAAAGCAAGTGCTTGTTTGCGTGCAAGCAACTCCCTTACTGTATCTTGCTCTAATCCAGCCCCAGGGGGCGTCGACAACGATTTAGTCGTTGTATAACCTCGAACTAGATTTAGGTTGGCACCACTGTGCTGTAATACCCACCTTCCCCTTCACTCGAGACGCAAATCGCGTCAGTCTTGCCAACCGACCGGTAATCCCCCTCCACCACCCCCGCGACCCCCGAATTCATGGTGTCCTTGAACAGTACTTCCCCGGTTTTAATCGCCCGACAGTCGATTTTACCATTGGACCAGCCGGTGATCAATTGAGTCGCCCCCTGCCCCAATAAGTCGTAGCTTTGCATCGAAATAGCGAAATGTTTGGACTGGAAAAAAAAGTTTTGAGGTTAGGTTAAGGAAACGAGTTGTGCCAACCTTGACACGCCAAAGTCTCACATCCTGGTCGTAAACACCGACAGTTCCGTTTGAGACCGAATACGCAAACCTGTTTTCCGGAAGTGGGGCCAAACCGGTCACCACTTCCGTTTCCATTTGCTCGCTGATTATCTGGTCGCCTTTGAAAACACGGATTTTGAAATCTTCCGAGCTTACTACCAACTTGAAAAAAAACAATGTTGGCAACGTGAGAAAATAAAAAAACTATTACTTCATTGGTGCCATCTTTATCAAAGTCCATTAACACCAAGGCTGTGACTACGTCGCCCACCGCTGTCCAAAACACCTCATTCCCTTGATGGTCAAACCCATGCACTGAGGAATTCCCCCCAACCATGACAATGGGTCCTTTCCCATCCCTAAAACTCCCCAAAGTAATGGCTTTGACCCCATCATGGCACTCTTTGTAGAAAATATCCCTGTTGTCGTGCACGTGATAGACCAGAATATGGGTCTCACTGCCTACTATTAACACATCTTTGTCGTCTTCTGGTACCAAAACCCCGGCAATAAGGGCCGTTATGGTCTGGTTTATGTTCAAAGTCGCGATTTCGCGATTGGATTCCGACCATACGACCCGTCCGATGGTGTTGGGGTTCTTGCGATGGGGGCTGTGGATGAGAACCTTGATGGGTGTGAGATGGGTGCTCTGGGTGGGTTACCTTGTCGGCGGCGGTCGCAGCGGTGAGACATGGGTGGGTGCCGTCGTATTTGCCGATGGTCACAAGGCCAGGCACGATTTTGTGGTTGAGTTCGAGGGTGAAAACGGGACGGATTTGTTTGTCCATGATGGGCGATGGTAGGCTGGGATACGGCGATACAAACACCCAGTATCGATCGTGGGAAAAACGGGAGATTCAAATACCAAGACTGAAATTAAGTTGGCAACATTGAATGGCGGGGATGTGTCATGTACCAATGTTGCCAACTTATTTGAAAAATTATTTATTATTTATTAATTTTTGAATATTTTTTTTGACTCATTTGGTTGGTATCTCAGAAAGTATTAACAATGACTAAAAATCGATTATATATTTAGAATTTTTGAACAATTCTGCATAAGAAAAGTTTATTTGAGGTTTCAGTAGTTGATTACAGTGACCTTAAAAAAACATAATCCTGGTACTTGACTAATAAATTGCAGAAATTTTGGCCGATATCTGGAAAACTGTAAAAGCTAAGTAAAAACTAATGAGACCACCGAAATTCTTGGACAATTTTATGTAAGAAAACTTATTCTAAGGTCTAATTTGTTGATTTTTGTGACCTTGAAAAATTATCGATTAAATAAATTCAAAAAAATTATAAATTTTTGCCGGTAACTCGGAACCTATTTATCTAGGGTAAAAACTGATTACATATTTAAAATTGTTGTACAAATTTTCATCAAAAAAATCTAATTCTAATTTAATTTGTTAATTTTTGCGACCGGGGATAGCACTTAACTAAAACGATGTAAAACAATTTTTACAAAATGTAGCTCAATTCTAGTTAATATCTCAGAAACAATCAAAGATGGGTAAAAACTAATTATATTTTCACATTTTTTGGACAATTTTGCTTAAGAAAAATCTTATTTCGTTTCAATATTTTAATTTATGTGATCCTGAAAAATTCTAATTTAAACACTTGACAAGAAACGGTTTGACACTTGTTGGAAAAAATTGCCATCAAATTCGAAAACTGTTTTAGATAAGGCAAAACTGATAATATATTCGGAATCCCTGGTCAATACTTCATAAGTAAAATTTAATTTTTGGCCAATTTCTTGTTTTCTGTAGTCTAAAAAAAATTATAAATCTAGCACTTGACAAGAAACGATTTGGGGTTTTTTAAGAAAAAAATTGCTGAATTGTGGAAAATGTCTCAAAAACTATTGACAATAAAAAAACAGTGATTAGATATTTGGAATCCTTGGACAATTTCTCTTCAGAACAGTCTAATTGCGGTTAAATATGTTAATTTCATGACTCTAAAAAATTTGAGAAAAACGATGTGACAATTAAAAAAAAGTCAAACTCTAACTGATGTCTTGAAAATTATTAATGATAAAGAAAAACTGATTACATATCCAAAATTGTTGAATAAAATTGCATAAGAAAAGTTTACTTTTGGTCCAATTTGTTAACTTCTGTGACCTTGAAAAAATAAAAATTCAGGTCTTTGACAATGAACGCTTTATGCTTTAAAAAAAACAAATTTTGGCTGATATCTCGAAAACTACTGGTGACAAGAAAAAACTAATTACATATTTGGAATCCTTAGAAAATTTTGCATAAGAAAATCAAAATTTGGTTCATTTTTTTTTTAATTTTAGTGACTGAAAAGTTAATATTCTAGGACCGAAGTAGATTTCAAGAATTTTAGATAAAATTGATAAATTTTAGCCAATATCTCAAAAACTATTGACAATAAGAAAAAAGTGATTAGTAATTTGAAATCCTTGGACAATTTCTCATAAGAACATTTTAATTTTGGTTAAATGTGTAATTTCATGACCCTGAAAAATTTGAGAAAAAACGATTTGACAATTAAAAAAAAAAACAAACTCTAACTGATATCATGAAAACTATTAATAATAAAGAAAAACTGGCTTCATACCCAAAATTTTTGAATAAAAATGCATAAGAAAAGTCTACTTTTAGTCCAATTTGTTAATTCCTGTGACCTTGAAAAAATAAAACTGCAAGTCTTGTCAATGAACGCTTTATGGTTTTAAAAAAGACAAATTTTGGCTGATATCTCGAAAACTAATAGTGATAAGAAAAAACTAATTACATATTCGGAATCCTTGGATAATTTTGCATAAGAAAATCAAAATTTAGTTCATTTTTTTTAGTTTTGGTGACTGAAAAATTAAAATTCTAGGACCGAACTAGATTTCAAGAATTTTAGATAAAATTGATAAATTTTAGCCAATATCACGAAAACTATTGATAATAAGACAAAAGTGATTAGATATTTAAAATCCTAGGACAATTTCTTATAAGAACATTTTAATTTCGGTTAAATGTGTTAATTTCATGACCCTGAAAAATTTGAGAAAAAACGATTTGACAATTAAAAAAAAGCCAAACTCTAACTGATATCTTGAAAACTATTAATAATAAAGAAAAACTGATTACATATTCAAACTTGTTGAATAAAATTGCATAAGAAAAGTCCACTTTTAGTCCAATTTGTTAATTCCTGTGACCTTGAGAAATTTTAATTTTAGCACTTGACTAAAAATGATGAATTTTACAATAATAAAAAATTTTGATCGATATTTCTAAAACCGTTAAAGATAAGTAAATAGTATAATGACCAAGTTTTTTATTATTCAATTCTGCCAACTTTATATGAAAACACAGGCCACTTTGACAGAAATTGCTAAAGTAGCGAAATAATTCTTAGTGTTTTTTTTTTCTCAATTAAATGAATTCATAACCACTTATCGTTACGCTCTATAAATTATGTCATTTTTTCCACGGTCGTGATTGCCATACCATTCCCATGATACCCATTTAGCACCATTACTGTCAAGATGGCTATCTAGCTCTTATAATAAACAATATTTTCAGTGTCGTAGCAATTTTGTAATTTTTACTAAACTCCAATTGTTCTCACGCTCAAAAACCGTGACATTTACAATCTCTCACTATTTTATCTCATTTCAATGTAAAATAAAACGCAAAAATTAGTTAAAATTTTATTCATGTTTTGAAACATATAAAAATATACGATGATTTAACAGCGAATTCATTGACATCAGTAAACATCCATAAATCATTAATATTCACACGTAATAACATAATAAAAGTGAATTCGAAGTGACAACGAGCCATTATTAAGCCATAAAATTTAATTGAGTTGTCGCACTCGTCGCCACCTAATAAATAAAAACCGGTGCGAATTTGTCAGAACACATAACATGGCAGTTACGGAGTAAAATGGCAATTTTTTCGAACACAATGGCACTTAATTAAATTTCGTTGCGCAAAAGCAACTTGTTCTCGACTTCGGCCCAAGTTCCTAGAACGAAAGACTCGATTTCGCACTCATTCGACCCTCGAACGATACGAAAATGGCCGTTTTCGCCCCATTCAGGCCCCCAACTATTCGCCACTTTCTGCAAAAATCAATTAACGCAAAAAAAAAATTCAAACACAGAGCCGTACCCAGTATTTTTTGAGCCCTTCAGGGGCGTACTCCTCGCCCCAGCCCACTATCCGCACCGAGTGGTACCCAGTCCTGTCATTGGTCGCGATGGGGGAGTGCCGGTAAATCCCCCGCTTGTAGGTGAAAAAGTCGTGGTACACTTTCATCGTTGCTAAAAATTCAGTTGGCAACATTGAATTAATCTAAACTTGTGATTTTGTTACCTTGCACAGGGCCGGAGTGCAGGATTTCGTACATGATGTCGGTTTCGTTGCCCACTCGGTAGGCGGGGGCCACCTTGTATTTCGAGCGTCGGTCAACGTTGACAGGAAGTTGACAGTTGGCTGTGACCAAATCGCCCCGTCTTGGAATTCTGCACTTTTCATTGGTCGCGCTGTAGGGGAAACACTGCTCATCGACCAATCCGATTTTGCGGATGTAGGACCACGCCCGGTCGAGGTAGCCGCCGTTACAGCTCTGTTGACCTCTTCGGTCACACGAGAGGAGGTGTTGGGCACTTAAAGTGACCTTTTCGCGGCCTTTGGACAAGATTGCAAACCTAAAAAACAAAAAATAATTCAGTAATCGCAAATTAAGTTGGCAATGTTTGAATGGTAAATTACTTTTTTCAGTGTTGCCAACTTAATGATTTTTGTAGCAAAAAAAGACCATTTTTACAATTTTTAAAAGAAAATTGCAAACTTTCGCCGATATCTCGACAACTGTTAATGATAAGAAAAAAGTGATAACATATTTGGAATCCCTGGTCAATTTTGGATAAGAAAACTTGACTTTTCGTCCAATTATTTGTTTTCTCTGATCTTGAAAAAATATAATCCCAAAACATGACAGGACACGATTTGAAAAAAAAATAATGAATTGTTGCTGATATGAAAACTATTAATGACTCAAAAAAAGTGATTACATATTTCAAAACCTTGTACAATTTCGCATACGAAAAATTTAACTTCAGGCCATTTTGTTAATTTCTGTCACTTTGAAAAATTATATTTCGAACACTTGACAAGAAACGATTTGACGATTGGTGGAAAAAAAAGTGACAAACTTTTGGCCATATCTCGAAAACTGTTCTTGATGAAGAAAAAGTGATAACAGATTCGGAATTCCTGGTCAATTTTGCATAAGAAAACTTAACTTTTCTTCCGATTACTTGTTTTTTGTGGTCTTGAAAAGTGATAATTCTGGCACTTGACTAAAAACGATTTTATAAATTTCAGACAAAAATTACAAATTTTGGCCGATATCTGAAAAACTGTAAAAGCTAAGTAAAAACTAATTACATCAGCAGAATCCTTAGACAATTTTATGTAAGAAAACTCAACCTAAAGTCCAATTTGTTGATTTTTGTGACCTTGAGAAATTATAATTCAAACACTCGACTAGAAACGATTAAATAAAATCAAAAAAATTATAAATTTTTGCCAGTAACCCGGAAACTATTTATCTGGGATAAAAAAATACATATTTAAAATTGTTGTACAAATTTCCATGAGAAAAATCCAATTTCAATTTAATTTGTTGATTTTTGCGACGATGTGACGATTTTTGCAAAATGTTTGTCAATTCTGGTTCATATCTCACAAACTATCAAAGATAGGTAAAAACTTATTTTATTTTCAGGTTTTTTGAACAATTTTGCTTAAGAAAAAACTCACTTCGTTTCAATATACAGAGTGGTTATAAATGATTTTCAGCTAGCCAGCTTTGGAATTTTTTTGCATGTAACTTTATTTGTGCCGCTCAACTTTTTTGAAAGCTCTAGTTCTGTCATTAGTGTCACTTATTAATTAATAATAAATTGTTGTTAATTAAACTTTTATTGTTTCAACTAATTTCCAATAATAACTGATAATGGAAGACAACAAGTTTATAATTGAAGTCTATTTTCGAAGTGGACGCTTAGTAAACGGCGGTTTTTTAATTTTGAGTTAAAACAAGTAGGTACCCATATTTTCGTGAAGCGGCATTTTTTATTTTACATGGAAAATTTACAGCTGGCTAGATGAAAATCATTTATAACCACTCTGTATTAATTTTTGTGATCCTGAAAAATTATAATTCGAACACTGGACAAAAAACGGTTTGGACAAAAATTGCCAAACTTTAGTCGATTTCTTGAAAATTGTTTTGGATAAGGCAAAACTGATAACATTTTCGGAATCCCTGGTCAATTTTGCATAAGAAACATTTAATTTTTGTCCAAGTTCTTATTTTCTGTGGTCTAAAAAATATAATTCTAGCACTTGACAAGAAACGATTTGACGATTTTGAGAAAAAAATTGATAGGTATATTTTGACTGATATCTTGAAAACTATCAATGACAAAGAAAAAGAGATTACATATTCGGAATCCTTGGATAATTTTGCATTAAAAAAATCTACTTTTAGTCCAATTTGTTGATTTTTGTGACCTTGAAAAATTATAATTCCAGAACTTGACAAAAAATGATTGAATTTTGCAAAACTTAAGAAGCTTTTGGGCGATATCTTTAAAACTGTTAAAGATAGTTGAAAACTAATTACACATTCGAAATCCTTGCATAATTTTGCATAAGAAAAATTTAAGTTCAGGCCAATTTGTTAATTTCTGTCACTTTGGAAAATTATAATTCGAACACCTGACAAGAAACGATTTGAAGATTGTGGGAAAAAAAGAACACACTTTAGTCGATATCTCGAAAACAGTTCTAGATATTTTCTCTGGTCTTGAAAATTAAAAATTATAGCAGTTTTCAAAAAACGATTTGGCAATTTTTAGAAAAAAAGAATGATTTGTGACTGATATCTTAAAAGCTATTAACAATACGAAAAAAGTGATAACATATTTGAAATCTTTAGACAATTTCTCAGAAGAAAAATCTAATTTTGGTGAAATTTGCCAATTTCAGTGACCCTTAAAAATTAAAATTCTAACATTTGAGAAAAAACAATTTGACAATTATGATTACATATTAATTTAATTGCATAAGAAAAATCTACTTTCAGTCCAATTTCTAGATTATTGTGACCTTGAAAATTTATAATTACAGAACTTGACACAAATGATTTTGCAAAACTTTAGAAATTTTAGACGATATTTTTAAAACTGTTAAAGATAGGTGAAAACTAATTACATCCTCGAAATCCTTGTATAATTTTGCATAGGAAAAAAATATTTTCACCCATATTTTCTTAAATTAACAACAGTTTGAGAATTTACAAAAAATTATCTTAAAATTGAAAAATGGGGGAATTACCGGTCGGAGGCCACCGCCGCCGTGGTGATAGCCCAGGAGGAGCCACACCATCCTTGGTCCTGTATTTCGGACATCCATCCTGGCCACTTGAACTCCGAATCAAACTCTCTTGGTAGAGAATGTGGGTCATAAATCCTCCTCACAGGATTCATATGCATGACAAAACGCTGGGGCTGTAGAGTCCCCAACCTCAATTTAATCCCTTCCTCCAGCTTGTGCCCCCAGAATTTCGAATAATTCGAAGCACTCCATCCATAATTCGCATAATTCGAGTTAATCGCCTCTGTGATCGACGGTTCGATAAGACACGGGTGCTGTTCGCACAGCATCTCAGCCCTTTGCCCCATTTTTTCACACTTACTGTCAAAAAAAAAATTAAAAATCATTTAATTAATTTTAGGGGAAACCCACCAGACGTTACAGTTCTTCTTGATCTGTTTATTAACCGGGTAGACTCTCCCTTCGTACGTACAACCAAGGAGGGGCGCTGGGGGGTCAGTGGGGGGCGGAAGCCCCTTACAATGTGTCCAGAAATCCGGACAACAGTCTTCGTTTCGTGTCCGGTTGCAGAAGTCGTCACAGTAGCACAAAGTACCTTCGGAAATGACTTCGTTATTTCCTGGAATTAGGACGTGGGGGCCAATTAAACTTGGCTTGTGGGGGAATTACCTAAAATCGGTTCGGAACAATCGTCTTGGCGGCCGGGACAGCAGCCCCGGCGTTGGCAGTAAGGGCCTCGGAGATCAGAGTAGTCGCCGAATTGGGCGAAGGAGGGGGCGATGAGGGTGAGCCCCAAAAGGGGGCAAAGCCAGCTCAAGGAGGGCATCTGAAAAAAATGGCTCAAGTTGGCGACACTGATGACTGGAAGCTTAATTTGGCAACACTGACTGGTAACTGTCACGTTTAAACGTCACAATTTTATGGTCAATTGTCATTCGCCTCAGACGGGCGCCTGAAACCTATGGGGACCAATAATTCAGTGTTGCCAACAAATTTTTTGTCACAAAAATGCAAAATAAAAAACTAATTAAAAAATGTTTTTTTGTTAGCTTCATTTTACAATCACAGGCTACTTTGATAGTGACCAATAATGCAGTGTTGCCAAAGAATTTTTTGTTACAGGCCACTAAATAATAAAAAAAATATAAATAAAACAAAAAATATTAAACTAATTAAACTATTTTTTTTTATTATAATTTGAAAAAAGGCAGAACATCTAAAAAGTGACATATTGTGAAACATTTTTTTTTCTCACAATATGCACAATAACGGATTTTTGTCACAGACCACTAAATAATAAAAAAAATTAAAAAAATTAAAACATTAAACTAATCAAACGATTTTTTTTATTGTATTTAGAAATAAGACAACATCTGAAAACTGACATTTATTCTTTTTAGATTACACAATGTTGCCAACTTAATTTCAAAATCACAAACTGGTGACCAAAAATTCAGTGTTGTCAACGGTTTTTTTGGCAGAGGCCACTAAATAATAAAAAATAGAAAATATTAAACTAATTTTTTCATTCTTATTATATTCTGAAATAAGACAGAACATCTTATAAGTGATACGTGTCGCATGGTTTCTCTTCACATTATGCAATGTTGCCAACTTAATTTCAGAATCACAGGCTACTTTGATAGTGACCAATAATTCAGTGTTGCCAACGGATTTTTTGTCACAGGCTACCAAATAATTAAAAAAATATATAAAAATGAAAAATATTTAATTTAATTTATTTAAAAATATTAAACTACATAAAATAAAAAATATTAAACTAATTAAACCAATTTTTTTATTGTATTTTGAATTAAGACGGAACATATAAAAACTGACATGTGTCTCATTTTTTCTTCTCACATTACGCAATGTTGCCAACTGAATTTCAAAATCACAAGTTACTTTGTTAATGACCAATAATTCATTGTTGCCAACAGTTTTTTTGGCACAGGTCACTAAATAATAAATATTAAATTAATTAAACTAAATTTTTTATTCTTATTATATTCTGAAATAAGAGAGAATATGCAGTGATGCCAACTTAATTTCAGAATTACAGGCTACTTGATAGTGACCAATAATTCAGTGTTGCCAACGGATTTTTTGTCACAGTCTACCAAATAATTTAAAAAATATATAAAAAAATAGGAAACATTTAGTTTAATTTATTTAAAAATATTAAACTACATAAACTAAGAAGTATTAAATTAATTAAACCAATTTTTTTCTTTTTATTGTTTAAGACGGAACATCTAAAAACTGACATGCGTCGCATTTTTTGTTCTCACATTACACAATGTTGCCAACTTAATTTCAAAATCACAGGCTACGTTGATAATAACCAAAAATTCAGCGTTGCCAACGATTTTTTTGGCACAGGCCACTAAATAATAAAAAATAGAAAATATTAAACTAATTAAACTAAATTTATTATTATTATTATTTTCTGAAATATGACAGAACATCTGATAAGTAATATGTGTCGCATTTTTTCTCTTCACATTATGCAATGTTGCCAACTTAATTTCAGAATCACAGACTACTTTGATAGTGACCAATAATTCAGTGTTGCCAACGGATTTTTGTCACAGGCTACCAAATAATTAAAAAAAATATAAAAATGGAAAATATTTAGTTTTATTTATTTAAAAATATTAAACTAATTAAACCATTTTTTTTCTTTTTATTGTATTTTGAATTAAGACAACATCTGAAAACTGACATGTGCATTTTTTCTTCTCATATTACAAATTGTTGCTAACTTAATTTCATAATCACAGGCTACTTTGATAAAGACCAAAAATTCAGTGTTGCCAACGGTCTTTTTGGCACAGGCCACTAAATAATAAAAAATAGAAAATATTAAACTAATTAAACTAAATTTTTTATTGTTATTATATTCTGAAATAAGACAGAATATCTGATAAGTGACATTTTTTCATTTTTTCTTTTCACATTATGCAATGTTGCCAACTTAATTTCAGAATTACAGGCTACTTTGATAGTGACCAATTATTCAGGGTTGCCAACGGATTTTTTGTGACAGGCTACCAAAGAATTTAAAAATATTAATTTTATTAATTTAATATTAAAAATATTTTAATTTTATTCTTTTTATTGTATTTTGAATTAAGACAGAATATCTGAAAACTGACAAGTGTCGCATTTTTTCTTCTCACATTACGCAGCGTTGCCAATTTCATAATCACAGGCTACTTTGACTAGAAATTTAACTCAATTTTTTCTTCTCAAATTGGAGAAATGTGGCTATAAAATTTGAAATAAAAATGTCTCGGTCACGAAGGAAAGCTGTGAGAGAGCATTTCACGTTTCAAGAGAAAGGTAGACAGTTATTGGCTTCGATGGTCCAATATTTCACTTAGAGAAACTTCAGTTTGTGTATTTTTTGCAAAAAACCGAACTATTTGCCATCCCAATTGACACAAAACGTGCTAATAAAATTACACAAGAGCTTTAAATCTTGAATCAAGAGTACAAAGCTCGCTAATTAACTCATTTACCGATGTTGTAACACACCATAAATGACGTCACTGTCATTGTCATTTTTCGAGAACAAATCTCTATTTTTTTTGACCCGATTCGATATGCAAATCCATGACATAGGTGCCAGTCCAAGGCCAGAAGTCTCGCTTTGCTATCATCGAGTCTTTGAACTTTTGTGATAAAAATACGCAAACACGGGCATAAATTGCATGGGAAAATGGGACATTGCAATCATTTTTCAAGTGTGGCATTGAGAGCACTCACACCCACGCCAGGTGTGCATTAGAAATTAATTATATGAGATTCCTAACGAATTACAATGTCCAAAACACGTGTTGGCTGCTGTAAACAGGAGCGAGAATGTCAACGATGACGTACCAACAACACACTGAGTTCAGGACTATTTTTGCACTCGTGACATTTGCATACAAAAAATTCATGCAGGTGGGTCAAAATTTACTTCCGTTGGAAAAAATCGAAATTTGATTTGATACGCCACTGGTCTATCAATAAAGATCAATTTTTTTTTCGATTATTTTATGACAAATTATGTTTTTTGATGAAGATTTCGTTTTCTTCTTTGAAAAAATCACATATATATTTTTCTACAATTTTATTTTAATTATAAAAGTGTCTGTACCTATAAAATTTGATACACCTGGTATAGGTTTCTACGCCACTGCTTTAATAATATACAACATTTTTTTTTTCTATTATTTTAATAAACAAAAAAACTAATTAAATGTTACACAATTTTTTTAACTTTTATTAATTAAAAATTCACATAAATTTTTCTACGGTTTTATTTTAATTAATAAGTTTTTGAAGGGTGCGTATAAAATTTGATTCACTCGGTATGTTTCTACGCCACTGGTTATTTTTGTTTTTTAATTTTAATAAACACAAAAACTTTAATTACATGTTTCGACAAACTATTTTTAAATAAATAAAAATTTTATCAATTATTGTTCTTCTACTTGAAAATCACATATTATGAATTATTCTAGAATTTTTATTTATTTAATAAGAGATATTTGGAGGGTAAAAATAAAATTTGATTTACTTTCTATAAGTTTCTACCTTCCACGCCACTGGTTTATTGATAAACAAATTTTTTTTTATTGTTTCGATTATTTTGATAAACAAACAAAAACTAATTAAATGTTAGGCATTTTTTTTTATTTAATTAAAATTTTATTAATTAAAAATTCACATAAATTTTTCTACAGTTTTAATTTAATTAATAAGAAGTTTTTGAAAGGTGCGGATAAAATTTGATTCACTCGGTATGTTTCTACGCCGCTGGCTATTTTTTTTTAATTTTAATAAACACATAATTTTTTTACAATTTTATTTTAATTAAAAAAGGATGTGGATAAACTTTGAATCACCTTGTATAATTCTACGCCACTGGTTTCACTGGTAAACGGCAGAATTTATTTGTTTTTCGATTGTTCTAATAGAATTATTTTTAATTAAATTAAAATTTCAATAATTATCGTTCTTCTACTTGAAAAAATCAAATATTACTTTTCTTAAAATTTCAATTTAATTAATAAAAAATATCTGGAGGAGGGTATAAAATTTGATACATCTGGTATACGTTTCTACGCCACTGGTTTAAGAAAATACAGCAATTTTTTTTTTTAATTATTTTAATAAACAAACCCAAAAATTATAATTAAATGTTTTGACAAACAAGTAAATTTCTAAGTAAATAAAAATTTTATCATTCTTCTACTT